TAATAATAAAAAAAAAATAAATAAATAAATAAATAAAGAATTTCAAGAACTACTAACTTATCTAAACAAGTATAAAATAATCAAAAGTTTATTTAGTATGTTCAGAAATACGCGAACCTTCTTTTTGTTAAATATTTTCGAATTGGAGCGGAACTGTTGGAAGCTAGGCAAAAAAGGAAAGAAGAAGAAGTCTATTCAAGTGCTATTCAGAGTTGATGCTAAAAAGTCAATAACTATGTGAGTGTGTGTGTGTATATGCATGTACATATGTGTGTGTGTTTGTGTGTGTGCGTTACTCTGTTTTTCTTTCTCAGCAAACAGAAATTAAAGCCAAGCTGGAAAACACAGCGGCCAGCGAACAGGAAAAACCGACGCATGACACAAATTCACAAAAGGTGGAAGCAAAAAACGAGAAAAAAAAACAGAAACAAAAACAAAAGCGACAAAAATCGACATGGAAATGAAATCGAATGAAGGGAAATGAGGGGACAAAAACTAAGAGTCGAGAATATGAGCATACATAGCAACAACAACAACAACAACAATGGCAACAACAACAACAACAACTAGTTCGATGCTTGACCGAGCACAGCGCATCAGCTCGATCAGGGCCAGACCGAGGGGGAGGGCAGAGGTCGCAGGCGAGGGGCTGTTAGTAGGGCCGCCTTTTACGCATTTGCCAAAGAATGAATGAAAAGTGGGAAAACAAAAGAAAAGCTAAGCGAGCGCAAAGTGCGGGAGTTTCCTGTGCGCTATGGAGCTCTAATGAAGCCTGAAATCGATTTGTGGAACCAGTTCAAACAAACCAGCTCACAATAGTTGCAGCGAATTAGAACGCAACGAGACGAGTCAAGTCGAATCGAGTCGAGTCGAGTTGAGTCCAGTCGAGCTGCCACCCACCCACACTCTCTGAGGGAATGGACTCCTCTGGGGAATGCTTGGCCTGGCAGCTGTTGCCAACTGTTGGAAATCCTCAAATTTACAGCCAGAACAGAACCAACAGAACCAGAATTCCGCTTGGCCTCTTTTTATTGTAAAATTTACGATCACCATGGTTGTTGTTGTTGCTGTTGTTGCTTACCGCTTTTTATTGTGTTGTTGCTGTTGTTGCTGCTGCTGCTGTCATAGGGACTCCTGCTCAGCTCAGCTCAGCTCAGGCTCGCAGCCGAAGGTGTCAAGTGTTTTGTGTGTGCGGTTAGCTTCTTGGGCATTTGGCCTGGCTTAGTCTGGCTTGGCCTGCTCTGGCCTGGACCGCAAACGGCGTGTCGCTGCGTGTGTCTCTCAAATTGCGTCAGAAATTATCGCCATTAAATGTAGATGAGCGTTTTGTTGTTAACTTATTGGCCCATAAATAACTATGGCTGAGTCCCTCAACAACAACAACAACAACAACAACAACAACAACAGCAACAACCACAACAAGTGCAACTGCAGCTCCAGCTGAACTTCATTCATAAAACGCTTGAGATACAATTTATGCTGGAAATTTCATTTGCGCACAGCTAGAAAAGCCAAATGGAAATTTAACTTGCGGTTGTTGTCATACAATTTGTCAGGTGACCTCTTAATAGCGGCGGAAAAACTGCATTGGAAATTCCTTAGACAAACCCACAAAAGGCTAGGAGTGTTTAGGTTTTTAATATGTGAAATAAAGCTATTAGGATATTTATGCCAAATAAATCCAATTATGCTACAGTCAAGAATAATATAATTTATAAGCTTTTTCTCCACTACGATTTTTACATAGAATATTTAGAGCTATTTGTTAAATTTAACAAATTATTCAATGCCAATTTCACGCTGCAAAATTTACATATTAAAAAAAATTAAATATATAATTTCTAAATTTATTCATAACATTTAAATATTTCTGCTTGCCCATTTACCAGCTATATAAAATAAAAGTCTTGGCCAACTTTAGGAAATCTCCTCATACTAATTACGTAGCGCATTCAGCTTTTAACACTTGCAGCCTTGAGAAATGTAGTCAGGCAAAAGCTGTCTGTTATGTGAGCGCCATCTATAGTTCACAATTGAAATCCGCTCTAGTTGCCATCACGCCTTAGTCAAACTTGGCATTCACACCCTGGCCAAAAGGTGGCGCTGCATTCGTTTCCAAATAGTAATGAGAGATGGCGCTGGTAAAAATTTCGTTTTAAATCAAAGCTTTTAGCTCCACTTGGAGTTTATTCACCTGTGTGTCAACTGCTCACCCATGTAAACCACCTGTCCATCATCCATATTGGCAATGGCCTCGGCGAGTGACGCATTGCTCAAATGAAACTCCCATAAGTGATCCAAGCAGCTGCGGCTGCTTCTAATCACTTTCCAGCTGCAGGGAATGGCAGGGAAATTCCTGGGCAGTCCAATGGACTCGGCATAGAAGAACACGGCGCGATTGTGACTGCAGCTGTCTGCAATGCACACAGATTAGATTCAGTTATGAGTGCCTCTAGATATGGCTGCACGCACAGGCCTCCCGCAGTAGCTTACTCGCCGCCAGCAGATCCACCTCCTCGCAGCCCGGCTGCGGGGCGCGTCCGTAGTTGACATAGAAGTCCGCGTGGCCACGCGGCGTCAGATCTCCAAAGATCGGATAGTCTGTGTGTATAACGTCCACGAACTGCGCTGCGCTCGCCTTCAGGCTGTCCTCGGAGCGGGCCGTGAAGAGCGGCAGAGCCGGATCGAGGCCCGTCACACGACCCAGAGTGCCATTGAAGTGGCGACCAATGCCGCCGGCTATGTGTGCGCCCAAGCTGTGCCCAATGATGTGCACCGCCTCGCTGGAGACATTGTGCCGTGCCAGAAACTGCTCCAGCTGCTGGGCTAACACGAGTGATACCTTGGATATGGAGCGACGCGAGCTGGGATAGTCCAGATTGGCGGCGGGCGACCAATCGGCAATGAGAAGGTGCTCAAAGCCCTGCGCACGGTAGGCTAGAGGGCAGAGAGAGGAGTGGGGGGGGGGGGGGAGCGAGAGAGAGTGAGAGAGAGGGATAGAGGGAGAGTGACAGAGACAAAGAGGGTGAGAGAGTGAGAGACAGCTTAGCTTAGAGTTGCTTTAACAGAGTTGGCTTAACAGTGAGTTAGCTTAACAGCTTGTTAAGCCAACTCACAAGGAGTCAGGTGAACAGTGAGTTCAGTTCACAGATTTAGCCTAATAGAGTCAGCTAAACAAAGTAACAGAGTTACCATATCAGAATCTGTTTAACAGAGTTAGTTTAACAGATTTGCTTAACACTGAGTTAGGCTCACAGAGTCCGCTAACAGAGATCGCTTCACTGAGTTAGCCTAACATCGGCTAACGTTAACAGAGTAAACTTCACCGGATTAGCTCAACAGAGTTCAGTCTCAGCAATCCGCTTACCATTTCGCAGCGGTTGGATGGAGCTGTGCGTGCGTGAGCCTAGGAATCCGTGCACGATCAGCTTGAGGGACTCCACAGCCGAGAGCTGCTCCACCTGGTCGAGCGTCAGCTCGCCCTGCGCTCGCTGATAGTAGATGCTGCTCTGGCTGGCCAGGGTGTCCAGGCTGAGCGCCGGCAGGCCCGGCATCTGGCAGAGGAAGGGCAGCCAGCAGTAGAGCATTCTGGCCATGTTGATGCAGGAAATGGAACTGAGCCCAGTTGGAGCAGTCTCTGCCGCTAAATAGCTAAATGGATCGCATGCTGCAAGCGCTGCGTTTGGCTAATCGCTGCTCGATTAGCTGACGCACAACCCGGGGACAGCTGGGCATCTGTCTAAACACACACGGCAACTTTATTAACTAGGGTACATTAGGTGATTTTCCATAAATAAGACACACGCAAGATGGGAGCGAGGGGCAGCGCAGCGGACTGCGAGTTAGAGTTACAGTTAGATTCCCTGACGTATGGCAGCTGTAGCTAGCGGCAGGCGGGAGGCGCGAGGCGGGGTTAGCGCCTGGCCTCGTCCTGGCCTATGGGCCGTATGAGCATCTTGATGCGGCGCAGCGAGTAGTCCTTGCCCTGGAACGTGTCCCAGTAGATGCCCGTCTCGCCGGCACGCTGGTAGTCCTTGCTGTAGTGGACGCCCATCAGGTTGCTCGTGCCGCACGCGTTGAACCAGCCGCCGGCCTTGTGCCGCTGGGCGCAGCTGCACTCGAGGCAGTTGTCGTTGTCGCTGTCGAAGGTGCTGAACTTGGCCCCGGCGTGATAGGAGAGGGAGTCCCCTGCGGGCGGATGCAGGTGCTCCTGGTAGCGGCCCAGCAGACTCAGCGCATAGAGCTCCCGCTCGCCGCTGATGGCGAACGAATCGTAGCCGGCGACGGCCACGTTGTTCTCAAAGTCCTGCATCCAGATGCGCAGCTCGTGCAGCGAGGAGCTGGTCAGGGCGTGCAGCTTGTCCAGGCCGATGAAGAAGTCGCCGGCGATGTTGCCGAAGCCCTCCTTGTAGTCCAGCCAGCTGCGCTCGAAGCTGACGTCGTCCGAGCTGCGATTCATCACCACCGTCCAGCCGTCGTCCTGGCAGGGCACATAGAACGCGTCGCTCTGCGGCGTCAGCTGCAGCTTCAGGATCCCGTTCACGGCCAGGTAGGACTGCAGGCAGCTGGTGGCATGCTCCTCCACGGGCGCCACACTCTGCGGCACGCCCTGAGCCAGCTGAGCGGTCTGCGTCTTCCGATTGGCCAAGCGTCTGCGAATGTTGCTGCGCGAGGGAGGAATCCAATTCAATATTCATTCAGCATCGAGTCTAATTGGATTTGGATCTGCTTACTTGGTGCTCTGCAGCAGCTTGGCCACGCCCTGCTGCGTCTCCTTGACGTTGTAGGCCAGCGAGACGAGGAAGGTGGCCAGCGCATCCAGCCGACTGGCCACATCCAGTTCCGTTCCATTGATCGACGTGCCCTGCCTCGTCGGCGGGCTCTCCGTCCTGTAGAAGAGGTCCATGTGCTGCTCGGGCACGTCCCGTGTCTGGCGCGAGAGTTCTGTGGAGTAGAGGAGCAGAGGTTTAAAGGCAGCTCTAGGCACCTGTTCAAGCTCACAGCTAAGCACAGCTAAGCAGCAACAACAACAACAGCAACAACAATCAGAAACAACAGCAATCCATTCGGCTTGGTTTACCCCGCATCTTGTTGCGATTCTTTTGCTTGTAGCTTAGCTCTCGGGCCTGACGAGGTCCCAGAAATTGATCGGTTTCACCTTTCAGCTCGTCCAGCGTGTGCCGCGTCAGGCGCTGGATGTGCTCGAAGCTGTCCAGGCGCTGCTGGAAATTGAGCTGCTGCGCCTTCAGCGATTCCATGCGACCCGTGTTGCTGTCCAGCAGCTGATCGAGTCTGTGGGGGAGAGTGAGAGCAAGAGAGAGAGAGAGAGAGAGAGAGAGAGAGAGAGAGAGAGACTAAGAGTTGGATCATAATAATATAGAATAATTAATAGTATTCGAATAGTTTATATCTGCATTTTAATTTAATTCAATTTGAGTTTTGTGAATAATTAATGATTTAATATATGTTAATATTTAAATAATTACAAAGCTAAAATAATTTTATTTTCTTTTTTTTTCGTGAACGAGGCTCGAAAACTACTTAGCCAATGTGAACGATTCCTTTACTATTACAATTCTACATTATATATATTGTGTATAATATATACATAAAAGTCACGTTGCTTTCTCGTAAAAACCTTATCAGAAACATGTGTTTTATATATAGTAGAAATAAAACACTAAAAAAATCAATTTAAC